AGTTTCTGCCCTTCCTGGAATACTGGCATGGTAGGTATGAGGTAAGTGGTGGTTTTCCTCAGGAATTTCTGGCGATGTGAAGAAAACTGTAATCACCTTCAACTGTGGTATATGGACCAACAGATTATCAAATCTATGTGTGAAAAAAGGGGTGAGGCTTCACTTTCACAGAAAACTTTTAAGCGGCCTCCATATCAGTGGAAATGTATAACTTTTTCTTTTTGGCTGGTGTCAAATGTATTGCCAAATAAATTTCTGTAATACTTTTTAGGTTTTATTAACTTCTATTTAACCTAGAAATTTTCTCACTGAACAATACAAATCAGTATAATAAAATGTCGTTGTAGGCAGCCCAAGTGAAAGCTTTCTACTTTGATAAGAAATATATGTACATAGTCTCCCATTCCTCCTTTTACCTATAATCTTTTTACATCCTTTATCGTTTACAGCAAATTCTATTTCCACTCTACTAACTGATAAATACCATACGTTTCTAATCAAATGAAACAGATGACAAATAACGAATGGTTCATACTGTCTTGTATCCTATTTTATGTAGTTGAATTAATTGTGATTTCCTGGATATCAAAACTCCTTTGTGCCTTCAGCATTTTTAGTTGGCTGCTCTTGAAATGCCACTTTAATTTACTTCAGCAGTTATGATCAAATGCCTTCTAACTCTTACAAAGCACAAAAAAAAAAGTCTCTGATAACTTCTCTGTGCATTTGGAGTGCTGCAAAAAATGAAATATTAATGAAGTACGGCGAATGACATATCAACTCCTTGGTGGAATTTCATTTTTTTAATCTTCTTCATCACCAGAAGAATTGCAATTTTTTTTAAATGGTAGCCAGAAATACAGAAAAATATAATTTATTGTGGATGTGCATCAACCCCCATACAGCAATTTCAGGTATATGTAGGAATATACACAATTACAGTAAAACAATAATGTTATATTTCCAAAGTCATATGCATTAAGTTGGAAATTTTTCACAAAACCTTAATTTGCCCTCCTGGGTATGTTAGGTATTACACAGGCTCTCATTGCAAGATTGTATATTATTTCTTTTTTCCAGCAAGAACAGTTTACACAGTCACAGTGCACAGAGGAACACTTTGAGAATATTCTAGATTTGAAAAACTGTGCCTCTAAAGGCCTTAAGACTGTCCCAGGGCTTTGTTATCCAATATGGAGCTATGGGCTCTCTGCCCCAATTTAGCCTCAAATGACTGAAATACAGGCTGCCCAAGCACCTGCATAATTGCACGTGAATTAAACTGATATACTGTTAGTGTCAGTCTTAATCTAAACATGTCTGTAAAAGCCATAGTTACTTTGATTTTAAAAATTTAATCAGTGATAAATACTGTGTCAGCTTTGAAGGCTTATTAAAGTCTGTCTTTGCACAGACATTTATTATGCAGTGAGAATAATTCAGTATGAATTAACTATGTCTAACTGTATGAAATGTTCCAGCTCTTCCGGATTTCCTTCTTTGCAACTGCAGTAGTGCAAGTTTCTTAGAAAGTATTTGCTTTTGGTTGATTATGAAGAAAGTAGGTTGACTGGGATTTCTCCAAACTAAATGACCAAGGAGTACCTAAGGAAGGTTGTTTTGGACGATCCTCTGCTTTGCCAGTAAAAAGAAGGGATTCTGTAAGATATGCAATTCTTTTTTTGTGGTGTTATGTCCTTTCACACACTGCATGTCCTCTCAATTCCTCAGAAAGAAAGGGCAGTGTGAGTAGATACTGGATGAAGACTCAAGACAACTGGATTCAGTTCCCATCTCAGCTGCAGATTTCCTGCATCCTATATAGTCTATTTCATCTATTTGTGCCTTGGTACACATCTGTAGAGAGGTAAAGACCTAGAATGTGGCATGTGGTCAAATAGCTTGGGAAGCTGCCTGGTTTCCTCCGACTTCTTCCATCTGAATGTATCCTTAGACTCAAAGACGTGGAACTGGAAACAACTCAGAGGAGAGGGCCTTAATGCCCTGGTTTAATCTGGTAGGGTATCATGTTTTACACAGGAAACAAGGAGGAAAACAGATTACAGAGGAGGTGGAATTAAGATTTCGAGTCCAGGTGTGTCTATCCAGCTGTTAGATGCTGAGTTACTACATACAGAGAACATCTAAACTATAGATCCTACATCCACTCTGCAGGAAAAAATATTCTGAATTGCCCCTACTCCAACTGTCTCTCTGTGTTGGTTCCCCTGTGAAGGTAGGCACAGGATTGACTTCTTATCTGCGTTTCTGAAGAGCCCACAGCCCTTCCTCCCAGAGATCACAAGAAGGCTTTCACATAAGCAGAGTGCAGGCATAGTCCCTCCTGTGAGGCTTGTGAGCTGATCTGTATGGCAAGAGTTGGCACATACATATGGTGCACCATGCTTGTCTTGTGACAAGATGTCCATCTGTTATGGGATGAGTAGTACCTGTGTTTAGGAAAGGACATCATATTTTTGCTGGCACCTATTCTGTCTCATGGCTGTATGTGCATGCCTCATTTGACCACACATGGTCTCGTTGCACTCCCTCCTGGTAGATGAGCAGTGTATCATCACCTCGTTATGGGGAATTCATGAGTTTTGGTTATGTGGGGGCAGTTTCCACGCTTCAGAAGAGATGATTTACGCACCTTAGCCTATGACGGTGCACAACTAATGCCTTGCTAAAACCAAATTATTTATATTCAAATTAAAATAAACATTGTCAACAAGGAAGTGGTTCCCCTGGTTTGCTGTGTGTCCCCCTTCCCTCACAGAAGTTCTGCAATGGGCACGAGTTCCATTGGCCTCAAAAAATAATGATTGAAGGCTGCTCACAACCTTGCATTTTTCACCAAATAGCAAGCCACTGGGGTAGCGTTAAATTGTAACCTTGAAGTTATCAAATGAAAAGCCTAATTCATGTGTGAAAATCTCATTGCTTGCGGGTGAGTGGGACTCAATGAAAGTTTCAGTAAACTAAGCTGCAGTAGAAGCAGTATCTGCTAGGGAAGAGTCATGAAACCACTCTAATTTTAATTATAGAATTTTGCCCCCTTGCCCTCTTGCAGTTCATCATCGAAAGATGTGTTTTGTTTTAATAAATTGAGCTTTGGGAGAAAACTCACTCAGGATAATAAGCTAAATGTTCAAATATATTAGAGGGGTAATTTCCCTTGTATCATCACCATTAAACAAATGAGGAAGTATGTCAAGTATTTCCCATATTATGTTTTTACTACCCTGCAGAGGAAGAAAGACATGATATCAATGGACTATAAAAAAGATAAAAAAGAAATATGAGAAGGCTACGTATTTCCTTTGAGTGGATTGAGAAGATAACTATTATGAGTGGGGTGCTGGTGGTTTTTGTTTTGCTCTTACATTATTTTATCTTCTTTTTTTTTTTCTCATTTTCCATGTTCCACTATGTAAAATGGTAAGAAAATTAATAATTATATTATTTTTCATGGAAAGAAACATACAGTATCCAGGGGCAAAGCCTGAGTTTCTGAAAATAACTGTGAGGAAAAACTTTTTATTGAAAGTCAGATGCTTCACTTTGGTTTCTAGGAAATTTGACTCACTTTACTTAGATGCTTAGAAAAATCATGAAACTTTGAAATATTTTGTAGCAATGTTCTAAATATTTTGTAGCAACCAGTCTTGTTCCAGCCAATGCATTTAATCTGATTCAGCCAGAAGCCTCTTTTTAGCTCAGTGCCTTGGCCATCCACATAACTAGATTCGTTATGTT